CCATACACAGAACGAACCATGAATTATCCGAGAATCCGACAAAAGATCCCCGTGGCCGTTCATAATAATTTGTCGGACGCCGAGGCGCCGGATATGGGCGGTAAACTACAGGTTTATCGTCTAGAGAAGCGCAAGGGAGAAGTGGATGATGCCAATATCATCGCGGGCAAGCGCGTCCGTCCACAGGGTCGCGCGCCTATCGTATCGGCTGCCCCACGGACAGTTGCCCCGCGGCGCGTCTCGCCAAAAAAGGCAGCGCCTTCTCCGGACGTACCCGGCCCAGATGATGATGGTGTGTCTCGGCACATGCTTCGGGCTGATCTACAGGCTGGAGACCTAGTCTTGGTCAAGGGCTGCGACTTCGCCGCTCTTGCTAAAGCGGGAGTTGCTCCGGATGCGGTTTGCACAGCTGAAGTGCTGTCTTCTACGGCTGCTGGTGCCAGGTGTAAAGTAGCTGGTGTTTCTGACATGCTTCTTCTGCCTCCAGGACACCAAGCAGCTTCGCTTTGCGTGCGACCTGAACGTGTCAGACGGTTCGTTTTTGTGTCAAATTAAATGGCGTCATGTTTTTTGTAGGCATGACAAGATTGTTGTCGGGCAGTGGGTGAGAGAGCGAGTCTCTGCTTTTGATTCTAACTCAGGTCAGAGATGGTCCCATGTCAACTATGGTGCTCTCGCAGACAAAGCCACTATTCTATGCTATATCTGTGCAGTGCATGAGCACATCTCATATTTGTATACACCTGATGATGGTGAGGCTTTGAAGATAACAAATGAAAATGTGAGGAGGAGAAGAGTCAGCTCCATTTGTGAAGTGAAGGTGTCGAAGTCTGAGCGACGGCTGAGCACCGAGACGAAGAACTCTGTACCAAGGCAGCCACCGCCTGCATCACTCGCTGAAGTGCCATGGTTGAATCCTTTGGCCAGGGACAAAGGCAATGTGCTCCAGTGCATCCAGAGTATTCTAAGGAGCCGTGGCAAGCGAGAAAAGCCCACGGATTCACGCGACATACACATGTCCTTCTCATCTTTTGAAGGTATTACCCGCAGTGAGTATGTGGGTACGCTGAGTGCCATTCGCGTCTGCTACCCGCTTCGGGAGAGCTTTGATGCCGAGTACATGCATGTGTATGGATCCTGTCCCGTGGAGCACATGCAAATCTGCAGTTGGCGCACAAAGGACGAGCTGGAAAGGCTCGGCAACTGGTTTGGTCAACCGAATTTCAACATGCACAGACGTGGGAACCGTCCAAAGCTATGTGTTCCAATGCCAGTGATGTTTGATGAGATGAATGTGGTGCATCCAAAGTACTCCAGAACTCGAATTGTGTTGAAATACAACATCACTACGTTTATGGCAAAGGTTACGGTGGCATACCAGCGAGTTGGACCGGTTGCACAAGGTACTGCACATCACTTTCTACCCGGAGGTGACTGCGCCCCACCAGCTATGCCAGTCCCAACTCAGCCATCTGAGCCTGTGCAATGCGGAGAAGAAGAGTACACTGATGCTGTTCTCCAGGGCGAGCAAATTGAGATTGACTCTGGCACGTACAAGATCATCGAGGTCGGCCCCACCTGCAAAGTGACTCTCGTCGCTGGCAGCGGCACGCAGTCTATCCTCATCCCGCGCGCAGACGCCGTGAGGCGCCTCGCCTTGTTCCTCGGCCTAGCCCCTCCCCAGTAACAGCCTTGCTATTCTCCGAAGTCCACGATGGAGCTGATGGCAGCACGATGAGCTACTCGTAGAAGTAGCTCAAAAATAATAATTAGACGGAGATAAAGACATCTCCGAGCAGAGCTCCTTCGCGCGCGCGCACCAGAACTCGTAGTTTTGTAAGCCGTCGCGATTAGGCGGAGAAAGTCGCACTCGAAGTTGCCGCGGAGCTGCGGGACGTGCTCGCGAGTGTCGTGCATGCCAGATTCGTGCGCTCCCAGCGTAAAACTTGCACCACTCGTAGCGGCGGTCGCGGCGGGGTAGTGCGTGCACTCAGGTTATATGGACATGCGCATGGGCGGAGATCGATGCAGGGGACGGGGCTGCCCGTCCATGCTCTCCTTAACTCGGGAGAGCCTAGTGGGGCTGCCCTGCCGTGTGAGGGTGAACTATCGAGGTTACGCAGTGGCGGTACACCGGCGTCTCTGTTATCCTCACGTCACCTCAGCTGCCGTAGTGTACGGGGGCTGGGGCTACTGGACGAACGGGCAGAGGATCTGCCTCACTAGGTCCAGGAAGACTCTCCGTCTATTACAGTGCGGGAAGCAGCTATAACAGGGTTAGAAAGTATTAAGGAGGGGAAGGAAATTGGGTGGCTCTGTACCAGCGAGCCACTAGGGAGATACAAAACTCTCTATCTCTCTACTCCCCCTGGATCGTAAGCCAATAATGAAGATCCATGTAGAGCATTTTTGTTCCAGAGCCTTCAAGCATATAGGACATATATAAGATTGCACCGCAAGCTAACAATTCTACCACACGAGACAGGCGCGACCAGTCTGCAGATGGGGCGTTAGGTGTTGCAAACGAGGGGTCTACATCAACCATAGTCTGACAGGAAGGAACAGGTGGTGACAGTCCACGGCGGTGGTGATCCTGCACCAGCCTGGTAGCTCTTTTTGCCATTCCCTGCTTGTAAAGCAATTTAGCAACATTCAACTTAGCACGAGAGGACGGGGAAGAGTTGTCAGAGCCATGGTGTTTGAGGACGTCTGTGTTTACAGGACCATCGCCACAGAGATTGTACTCCTGCGGATTCAAAAATGAAGTGGAATGTAATGATACAAAACTTTTACAATAATTGTCAGGCAATTGACCGCTTGAGGCATTCCAGTAGTCCCAGATGTACACAGCCTGAGAGGACTCGAAGTCTAGTGACTTCCGCAACTCAAATATTATGTCCTCGTCGATGTGCGAATTGTGAGACACCACCCACTCATTAAGCAGCCCCTCTGACATAAAGGACCTGTGTGTCCCCTGTAGTGATGGGTAGTCTGAATGCAATCGATTTGAACCTTCCATTCCCATTACATCCAAGTATCTATGGAACAATGTTTTATGTACTAACTTCGTAAATACATCTGCAACATTATGGGTGCCAGGGCACCAGTATGGCCGCACCTGCTTGGCCTCGTGCATATCTCTTATACGGAATTCTCTCAGACAGATATGCCTTGTTCTGGGTGAGGATTCAGGATGGTTGCGACGCTAA